TCTTATAATCCAGCCAAAGTCCAATCGGAACCAAAACTCCATGATAGACTGACTGAGGATGGGAAGGGCGGGAAAGCTGGAAGAGACCGACGAACTGTAAGAGGCGGGAGGGCTGGGCGGGACGGGGGAATCAGGAAGGAAGCGTGTGGTGGGAAATACGCCTGGGTTAAGAGAGACGGGAGGCCTGGAATGCATGGGAACGCAAGGAGCATTGAAAGGACAAGATGGGAGGTTGGGAGGGACACGGGGGGGGGAGAAAGGGCGCGCCGGGGACTGGGAGGGAAGGGCCAGGAGGGACGGGGTCCCTCGGAAGGACGGGAGGGTTCCGAACGATCGCCGCCAAGTGGCCGAAATCACTTGGGTAGCACGGCGGCGTGCAAACCGAGTGCGGCCGTTCGCTGTTGGGTGCGCGCGGGCGGCGGGGTGGCTCGAGGCCATGTGCTGCCTGCTGTGCGGGCATGTGCGGGCGCGCGTGGCCATATAGACCCGCTTGCACCACAAACGTTGGCACGTGCGGGCATGTGCGGCCGCTCGCTATGGGGTGTGCGGTTATGTGCGGGGGAAGCGGGGGTGCACGGAGGCATGTGCGGCCTGCTGTGCGGCCTGCTGTGCAGGCATGTGCGGCCGCGCGCGGCCATGAACCCCCTCGCGCAACGAACGTTGGCATGTGCGGGCATGTGCGGCCGCTCGCTATGGGCTGTGCGGCCATTTGCGGGGGAAAGGATGGTGCAGGAAGGCATGGCGCCTAGCGCCTTGCCCAAGCACCGTCCATATGGAACAAAGGTGTCCGCGCACACCACGCACATGGACGCACAGTAGCAGACAAGCTCACACGGCGAGGACTGAATGGACTCTTTGGTGAAAAACTCAGAGCACATGCCCCCGCACATGCCCGCACGTACGCGCCCGTCACTTGATCATTGCGCGCCGACGGTTGGAACGCTCGCACATGCGGGGCACATGCCGCGCACATGGCCGCACAACGAGCGCACATGCCAAGCCAAAAACGCCTGCAAATGCCCCGGAACAGGCAGTAAGAAGTGAGCCCAGTGTACATACATACGGACAGACAGACCGACAGACAGACAGATACATATGTGCGTAGCGCATCACTCCGCTGTACGCCCCAGCAGCCCTCGAAAGTGGCGGCAGATTCGCAGTTCGCACCCCCCCCAGGGATGGCGAGGTGTAATTTGAATCGGCGTAGTACGTCACTCCGCTGGACCCCCCAGCAGCCCTCGAAAGTGGCGACAGTTTCGCAGCTCGCAGCCCCTCAAGTGGTGGCGAGGTCTACTCTGACGCTGCGTAGCGCATCACTCCCATGGACCCCCAGCAGCCCTTGGAAGTGGCGGCAGTTTCGCAGATCGCAGCCCCCAGTCGAGGTAGGAGGCAGGGTCGGAGGCAGGCAGGTAGCAGGGGAGAGGAACAGGGAGGCGGGACAAGGACGAGGTCGCGACCGCAGTGCTCCATTCAAAACGAAAACCCAGCGCAGGCGGGTTGGGACAAATCCTGGCGAAGGACCCAACCATATGCAGTTGTGGGTACCGCTGTTGAGAGAATTGTCTTCGGTGGAGCTCCCTACGGCGCCACGAAGCGCGCAAGGGGCATGCCGTAGTGGTGGTTGGGGGGGCGCATGCGAACTGTGCTATTGAGGCCTTCGGTGAAGCTCCCTATGGGGCCACGGTGCGTGTGAGAGGTACGCCGAAATGAGCGGAGGGGACGCATGCGAACTTCGCCACGGGGGCCTTAGGTGGAGCTCCCCACGGGGCCACGGAACGTGTGAGGGGTGCGCCGACATGGGCGAGGCGGTGCCATGCGGGCGCGGCCATTGGGGCCTTCGGTGGAGTTCCCTGTGGGGCCACGCAACGTGTGAGGGGTGTGGCGAAATTGGTGGGGGGGCGCATGACAACGTTGCCACTGGGGTCTTATGTGGAGCTCCTTATGAGGCCACGCGACTTGGCAGAGGTGCGCCAACATGGGTGGGGGAACGCATGCGAACGTCGCCACTGGGGCCTGAGGTGGAGCTTCCCATGGGGGCACGAAACGTGTGAGGGGTGTGCCGAGATGGGCGGGGAACCGCATGCGAACGTCGCCACTGGGGCCGTAGGTGGAGCTCCCTTTGGGGCCACGCAACGTGTGAGGCGTGAGGGATGTGCCCGATTGGGCGGGGAACCGCAGGCGAACGTCGCCACTAGGGCCTGAGGCGGAGCCCCATGTGGGGCCCCAAGACGTTCACGGGTTGTGCCGAAGGGGGCAGGGAATTGCATGCGAACGTCGCCGCTGGGGCCTTGTGTGGAGCTCCCTGTGGGGCCACGAAACGTGGGAGGGTGTACCGAAAGTGGCGGCAGGAACCACATGCGAATGTCGCCACTGGGGCCTTCGATGGAGTTCACTATGGGGCCACGCAACGTGTGAGGGGTGCGCCGAAATGTGCGGGGGGGACGCATGCGAATCATGCGAACGTCGCCACTGGGGCCTTCGGTGGAGCCCCCTGTGGGGCCACGAGACGTTCACGGGTTGTGACGAAATGGGCGGGGAACCGCAGGCAAAAGTCGCCACTAGGGCCCGAGGTGAAGCTCTCTGTGGGGCCACGAAACGTGTGAGGCTGTTGCCGAAATGGGCGGGGAACCGCAGGCGAACGTCGCCGCTGGGGCCTTTGGTGGAGCTCCCTGCGGGGCGGGCCCACGGAACGTGTGACTCAGTGAGGAGTGTTCCGAAATGGGCGGGGGAACGCATGCGAACGTCGCCTCTCGGGCCGTAGGTGGAGCTCCCTATGAGGTCACGGAACGTGTGAGGGATGTGCCCGATTGGGCGGTGAACCGCAGGCGAACGTCGCCACTAGGGCCTGAAGCGGAGCCCCATGTGGGGCCCCGAGACGTTCACGGGTTGTGCCGAAGGGGGCAGGGAATTGCATGCGAACGTCGCCACTGGGGCTTTGGGTGGAGCTCCCTGTGTGGCCACGAAACGTGTGAGGCGTGCACCGGAATGGGCGGCAGGAACCACATGTGAACGACGCCACTGGGGCCTTCGATGGAGCTCCCTGTGGGGCCACGCAACATGTGAGGGGTGTGTGCCGACATGGGCGGGGGAGACGCATGAGAACGTCGCCACTGCGGCCTTCGGTGTAGCCCCCTGTGGGGCCACGAGACGTTCACGGGCTGTGACGAAATGGGCTGGGAACCGCAGGCAAACGTCGCCGCTGGGGCCTCAGGTGGAGCTCCCCAAGGGGCCACGAAACGTGTGAGGCTGTTGCCGACATGGGCGGTGAACCGCAGGCGAAAGTCGCCGCTGGGGCCTTTGGTGGAGCTCCCTGCGTAGCCACGAAACGTGTGAGGAGTGTTCCGAAATGGGCGGGGGGGACGCATGCGAAAGTCGCCTCTCGGGCCGTAGGTGGAGCTCCCTATGGGGTCACGAAGCGTGTGAGGGATGTGCCCATTTGGGCGGAAGGCCGCAGGCGAACGTCGCCACTAGGGCCTTACGCAGAGCCCCACGTGGGGCCACGAAACGCACCTGGTGTGCCGAAACAGGCGGGTAATTGCATGCGAACGTCGCCACTGGGGCCTTGGGTAGAGCTCCCTGTGGGACCACGAAACATGTGAGGCGTGCACCGGAATGGGCGGCAAGAACCACATGCGAACGTCGCTACTGGGGCCTTCGATGGAGCCCCCTAAGGGGCCACGCAACGTGTGAGGGGTGTGCCGAAATTGGCGGGGGGAACGCATGTGAAAGTCACCACTGGGGCCTTCGGTGGAGCCCCCTATGGGGCCACGAGACGTTCACGGGTTGTGACGAAATGGGCGGGGAATCGCAGGCGAAAGTCGCCACTAGGGCCTGAGGTGAAGCTCCCAGTGGGGTCACGAAACGTGAAAGGCGGTTGCCGAAATGAGCGGGGAACCGCAGGCGACCGTCGCCGCTGGGGCCTTGGGTGGAGCGGCCGATGGGGCCACGAGATTTGCGAGGGGCGCGCCAACATGGATATGCGGAGGGTAGAGGCAGTGATGGGAGCTGATGATGGCGATGAGGACACGCAGAGAGCAGAGGCAGGCATAGGAGGAGGGAGGAGGGAGGAGGGCCTGAGGAGGAAGGAAACGCGGGGCGCTGTCTCTTCAAAATGAAGACCCAACGCAGTAGGAGGGTTGGGAAAACAAAAACAGTCGGAGATCTGCGCGGATTCTGTGATCTACGCTGGACCCCCCTCGCTGGCGCGCAGATAGCGCCAGGGGCGGCGCAGGTGGCGCCGCAAGGCGGGCCAGGCGCCGACACAAGAAATCTGCGCGGAGTTCCGAAAGTTCATGTGTATGCTGTCTTGTTCTTCAATACTCCCAAGCGCCCTTTGCGGACAAAGGAGGGCGTCAAGAGGGGAGAACACCCCTTCGAGACGGCCGCTACATGACCCAAGATCAGCCCGAGACGGATCAACGACCCCCCGCAGGGTCGCCAGGATGTCCTCAAGAGGCCCCAGTTGTTGCAAATTGTTCATCACTCTCAACAGGCGCTCGGGGAGCACTCCAGCAAGGCCATGGGACGCAGAAACATTCTAAGAACGTAAAGCATTTCCGTACCTCGTAACTTCTCGGACCCTCTGGATAGCTTCACCTCAAGAAGGCCTCAGAGATCTCCCAGAGGATCCTAGAGGGCCAAACAGGCCCCGAAGATGGCCCAAAGACAGCCCGAAGACAACCCAAGACGAGAACCTTGCACGACGACCAAAGACAAACCCAAGAGGGCTCTAAGACGGCCCCAAAGTCACCCACGGCCCACCAAGACGGCCGAATACGAGTCTGCCAAGAGATCATCGCTCAGAATCCTCCCCAAAGACCTCCAGGAGGCCCCCAACTGGATCCGAAAAGGGCCCCGAAGATGCCCGCAAGAGTTCCCGAAGAGACCAAGAGGCCCCCAAACAGCCTCCGAAGGGTAAGCTTCAAGCAAACAGGAGCCAAAGCAGCAACCATACAACATTACGGCCACGCCCCATTACAGCATCGTAGCGCTGCCTTTTTCGCTGCCCAAAGATGGAACCATTCTGCAGAAGTTTCGATGCCGCGCTGGCACGGTGGCAGGATTTGCCGCAGGCAGCTGCATAAGCAGTGTCTGAGAGACCCATCATGCGCATGCCATCCCGGAGTTGGTCCTCCTTCTCGCGCAAAGCCCGGCTAATGATCGAGTACGAGAATATTAACAGCCCAAAAGCCGACATACCCACCAAGCCGTAGTCGTTGTCTTCGCCCACTGTCGAACCACTGCCGGCAAACGCGCCGAGCAAGTTTGGATCCCACTGGGTGCCACTGGTGCGGGGAAATGGCACGAAGAAGTACCAGGACGGGGCGATCAACTCTGCGTTGGACGTGGGAGGTGAGGGCCTCAGTAGGTAGTCATCGACATAATGCTGCAGGTGCACGAACCCTGTGCTTTCAAAGTACTGTTCGTAGGCCATCATCCCGAGAGTAAAGACAGAGCTGGACGCATCGTTCCAGTTCCAGCCAGTGCCACGCAACGCCTCAAGGGTGCCTGTGCCGGCAAAGGCTTCGAGCCCTGTGCCGTTCAAGCGTATGGTGTACGAGCACTCCCCGCCAGCCCCATCGAGACATGCGGCGCTCTCCAGGACCACAGCCGCACAGATGCTGTCGGTGACATACAGGCCATTTGCCTCGGACACCGTACCATAGTCCTCCTTCTTCATGTGCTCTTCTAAATCCTCGCTGCTGCCGAACATGCGGACCACTGGCAGCAGCGACTGTATGGCAGCGGGCGTGCTGGCCCATGCGTCCAAAGGATCGCAGTCTGGCTGGGTCGAGCACTCCCAGCAAGTGGTGGTCGGCGCTTCCCCCTCCTCCTCGGTCACCTCGCCACACTGGCTGTCGAACGTCCTCCACCCGCAGATGCCCCGGTGCTGGGCGCACTCGCAGGCGTCGCCGATGCTGTAGCAATCCACCAGCCGGCGCCCCTGGACGCCCGCCTCCTGGGCCCCCGGCCCTGCGGAGAGGAACCCCCCAGACGCGTTCCGCCCGTGCGCCTCTGGCCACGCGGCGCCCCGCGGCGCCGGCGGCCCCGCGCCGCTCCTCGCCGCGGGAGGCCGCAGCCGGCCGAGCCCGCCCGGCCGCAGCAGGCCCCGGACCGCCGGCCACGGGCCAGCCGCTGCCTGCGCCACCGCCAGGGCCGCCGCCCGAGGGCCCCAGGGCGTCCGCCGGTCTGCACCGGCGGCGGGCGCCGCGCGAGGGGCGCCCGCAGCCGCAGCAGCTGGCCGCGGGGCGCTCGCCGCCACGGAGGCGTTCGCAGGCCTGGTGGGCGTCGCGAGGCGCCTTGCCTGGCAGCCCGCGCCATTGTCGATGCCGGCGAGCCACGCGCCTGCCGTAGCTGCGGCAACCGAGGAGCTGACTGCGGGCAATCCTGCCGATCCACTGCCGGCGTCTGTGCAGCCTGGCTGCTGGAAGCTCTGCCCCACGTCCACGCGGGGGTTCGTTATTGCCTGCACGAGCAGCGTCGTGGCGGCGGCCTCCAGAGAAGGCCAGGTTGCGGACCACCGCGGATCGGTGCTGATCGTGGCGGTGGCTGCGCTGCCGCAACGTGCTGAGCAGCTCTCTTCGTGCCCCACGTTCTCTCCCCGCCTCCACTGTATTTCGAGGCGGTGGACGAAGCACTTCCACAAGTCCTGGCAATCTGCAGTGAACGGTGGGCAAGTGTTGAGGAGGTTGTACGCGGGCTCGGCCAGCTGGAAGTTCATCCCCGCAACCCGTATGATGCGGTCCGCCAAGGCCCCGGCGTGCGAGCCCCCAACCACGCCAAAGGTCTTCCGCACAGGCGGCTGCCCAGGGTTCAACATCGGCACCTGAGCGACGGAAAAAGCGGGTCTTGCGCGAGATGGCATAGCGATCTTACACGGTGGCTTACGCGGGCCGCCAGGGCGGCACGTTTCCTTGGAAACGAGGGCGCTTATGCGCGACCTAACGCGGGAAGCTTCCGCGCGAATGGCCGCGCAGGCGAACCCGTTTGATTCCGTCGCTCACCTTGAGAACTGTGACCAGCTGGTCGAAGCCCATCCAATAGTACGCGACGCTACTGTAGTCGCGAATCTCCCTGCGGAGGAAGTCCCCCGCCGGGTTCACGCTTGGGCTGTTCTCGTTGGTCTCGCCCTCCCATTCGCTCTCGTGCTCGTTCACTGCGCTGAGGCTCTCCCCAGTGTGCGTGAAGCACGCGCGCGGGAGGGGCCGAATCCCGTACAGCGTGCGGGGCGAGAGCTCCTTCGTCGACGACGACAGCTCCCAAGTGGCAGCCTCGATGGCCTGCAGAGGGCCTTCTGCGAAGTAGAACGTCAGAGTCGAGATGAAGACCAGTATTGCGAGGCAGATGTGCTGGCACAGGCAAGTATAGCAGGAGCGCTTAGTGACCAGGAAGTTCTTCCTTTGCAAGGTCGCCAGCTGCGTGAAGAGCGGCATCGCGTGTGGATGCCTCTAGCACGGGGGGGCCGAACGCGGTCCTGAGGATTGCAGAATATGCCTTGGGCCATAATGTTTAAATCCGCCGACCCTGTCGGCGTGTGTGAGGGGCTTGTCCGTTCAAGTCGTCATCTCCGTCATTCATTGGTCGTCGTCTCTGTCGCCTCCTTTCCCTGCCTCCCCTCTTTCCCTGGGCTCGTCGAAGCTCCGGGACCTCCTCAGCGCGCCAGCCAAAGCGAAGTTGAGCAACGTCGTAATTGAGTCGAAGGGAAGCCCCGTCCCTTCGATCCCTCCCCCGCCGGGGGGAGGGGGGGTGGGGGGGTGGTCCCAGGGGGGGGGGGTGTCAGATACCCAGGGAGTCCCGGAGCCCCAAAAAGCCCCAAGACGGGCCAAGAGTGCCCCAAGAGGCCCCAAAGACAGTCCAAGAGAACCCCGGATCGCCGAACGATCTGTCCAAGACGCCTTGACGGCCCGGCCCAAGCGGCCTGCAAAGCGCTCCAAGAGGCCTCCAGGAGCTTTCCCACGAGAGCCCCGAGAGGCAAAATTGATGGATTTTCCCATACGTTTTTGAAAGATTTTGGCGTTCTTGCCTCTTCCGCTTCCCGGCGCGCTAAGACGGCCCAAGGGGCCCCCAAGATCGCCCCGAGACGGCCCAAGAGGCCCCCAAGAGGGTTCCCTCACGGCCGAAGAGGGCCCCAAGACGGTCCAAGACGCCTCCAAGACGGCCCAGGAGGCCTCCAAGACGGCTGCAGAAGAGTGCCCAGACGGGGGACCCGAACGGACATTTCGAGCTCTCAGCCCCACCAGGCCCCTAAGAGGCCCCGAAGAAACCCCAAGAGGCCCCAAGAGGCTCCCAAGGGACCCCCAAACTGCCCCGAGACAGCCCAGGAGAGCCCCAAATTGCCCAGGAGGCCTCCAAGAGTGCCTCGAGACGGCGCAAGAGGAGCCCTGGACGGCCCAAGACGGCCTCAAGAGAGTCCCAGGCTGTCCCAAGAAAACCTCTGGCCTCCTCCTCCTCTTGTTCCTCCTCCTCCTCCTCCTCCTCGTCCTCCTCGTCCTCGTCCTCCTCCTCCTCCTCCTCCTCCTCCTCCTCCTCCTCCTCCTCCTCCTCCTCCTCCTCCTCCTCCCCTCCCCTTCTGCTCTCCCCTCCCCCTGCTCTCTCTGCCTCCTTCTCCTCCTCTTGCTTCTCCTCCACATCATTCTCCGCCCTCCTCCTCCCTCATCCACCTCCTCCACCCTTCCTCCACCTCCCACTCATCCTCCTCCCCCTGCCCCCCCCTCGTTTTCATCGTCGTCGTTCTCCGGGTCGGCGGCACCGACCGTAAGGCCTTCGCAATAGCCATGCCCAGTCGCTGCTCGTGAGTGGCAAGCCGTCGAACTGAGGAGGAGGAGGAGGAGGAGGAGGAGGAAGAGGAGGAGGAGGAAGATGACGGGAAAGGAAGAGAGGAGGGTGAAGTACGAGGATATAAAACAAGCCTGAAAAATGCGGATCTCTTGGATCGGATGCGTCTGGGTGTAGCTGATGACAACGCCTTTGTTGCTCAGGTTGTTCGTATGAGGAGGCCACACCATTTGTTAGCACGATTTGTTCTGCGTTTGTCGTTGATCGCGTGTCCAACACTTCGTTTTGTATCGCCTTCACGTTTGATCATGATCCTCACACATTTGAGGCGTCTATGCCGTTTCGGGATCATGTTCAGAGGCTGCTCGTCTGTCCCATGGCAGCTGCTGGTCCATGCGTTAGTAATGCTGTGCCCGCGCCTCGAGAAGTTCCTGTGGGAACGCGCCCACCAATTCATTCCCCAGCTTCCTCGCGCCTTTTGTGAATCGCGGAGGTTGCCCTTTACCAGGGTCGCGTTCCCCAAACACTGTTTGCACGCAGGCCTATTGTTCGGCTTGTAATGAACTGCCCCTTTGGGGGGGGGGGTGTTCCTCGCGATGTTTGCCCCGCTGTCGCTGGGACTACATCGTGGGGCCGTAAAACTGGGGAGTCGCACGATAGGGCCCCGCCCGAAGTGACACACGATAGAGTCCGACAGAACACGTCGGCGCTTCAGTCTTGACCAAACCTGTAGACGCGCCCCCCCCCCCCCCCCGTCTCACCAATGCAACCGTGAACATAGCATCCGCCCGCGGCGGAGGAGGTCTCGGGGCCTCACCCAAGTTCTCATACGTATTACGCCCGCTGCAGCGTCATAACCTCCTCATACGGCCGCTGCTCGATCATAGGGAATGACTGGGTGTGCACTCGGAGTGACATTCCTCCATCTCGTCTCTCGGCAAGACCAACTTACTCGACATCCTCCGAAGCTTACTCCAGATTTCATGACTTGGGCAACTCCGTCGCAAAACACTCTCTAGCCTCTTATAAGATGAATAATTCGACGTACGATGTAAATAACTTAAATGTCAAAAAGAGCAGTCCACGAATACCTATAAATAAACCATAGTATTCTGAAGTCCGAAGTAATTCAAAGCAAGTAATATCAAGAGCCGTCAATTTTCTCCGGGAAAGAACCCAAGTGAGAGGGCGCGTGCCGCACTTACAAGCGACACCCAAAAAAATGGAACAGATGGCGCGGCGGCAGCGGCGGAGATGACGGCAGCCCAAAGCAGCAGCCGCAAGATAGAGGCCCGCGACGACGACGACGACTGAGGGAGGCGGGGCTGAAAGACAAATACCCCCCGGAGGAACGGAGCAGGAGGAGGAGGAGAAGGAGAAGGGACCAAGGAGAAGGAGCAGGAGGAGGAGAAGGAGAAGGAAGAAGGAGAAGGAGGAAGCGGATGACTAGAAAAGTAAGAAGTTAGAGGAAGAGCGGGCACAAGGGGAATACATGGTTCTCTCTGGCCCCAGCTCGGCCCCACGATTTGCACAAGCCTATGACAGCGAACCACATGTTGCCGGCCTGTATGTGTACAGGAAGCAACGGGCACAGGCGGGGCACTCGGACTAAGCTCTGCTCTACCTCCTCCCAAACCTCCTCCTCACCCTCTTCCCCCTCCTCCTGCTAATCTTCACCCTTCTCATCCTTCTCCTCCTCAGCCTTCCCCTCCCCCTCCTCCCCCTACTCCTCCTCATCCTATCCTCCTCCAGTCCCCCCTCATAATATGCCCCCTCTTCCTCATCTTCCTCCGCCTCCTCCTCCTTCTCCTCCTACTCCGACTTATCCTTCCCTCCTCCTTCTACTCCTTGTCCTTCTCCTCCTCATCGAGAGTCTAGAGCCCGTCCGAAACCGCAGAACTAAGAGAAACTGCTCGGCTTCGGTCTGGGCGTCGGGCTGGGCGACGGGCTGCAGGAGCGGCGTCGGGCTGGGCGACGCGCTGGGCGCCCCTCTGGGCGACGGGCTAGGCGCCGGGCTGGGCGACGGGCTAGGCGTCGGGCGCGGCCTTCACGAAGTCCTCGAGCTCTTGCGGGCGCGGGCCAGGCGATCCGCCAGCGAGGTCTTCAGCTCAGGCGCGGCGTCCGCGACGGCGTCCTCGCGGCAATCGAAAGACGACAACGTAGACGAGGTGCGAATGACGAATGACGAGTGACGACCGACGACCGCCGTCGATCGACTCGATCGACGTTCGACGAGCGACGGTCGACGAAGTCCGAAGTAACGAAGGCTCTGCCATCGCCATGGTCGTCGCCGAACCCCGTTCTTCGTCGCATCGTCTTCGTTTAGGCCTCCTCGCACTCCTCGCCATCATCCGTTTCTTTCTCCTCCGCTTCCTCCTATTCCTCCTGCTCCTCCTCATATCCCTTTTCTCCCTCCCCCTCTGCTGGTTCTCCTGCCCCAAAAGTCCTTCTTGCGATTGTCGCCGTCGTCGCCCTCCCTGAGGTTGGACTCCGGCAGCTCGTGCTGCGTGTCCGGGTCCGTGGACGGCGCAGCTGGGGCCTGCTCGAGGACCCTGGTGCCAATGCACCGGCCGTCGCGCCACTGGTTCAGCAGCTGGCCGATCTCGGGCGTCTCCGCCCAGCCCGTCTTGCTCAGCTCCACGCGGAGCTTGGCCACCGCCTTGGCGCGCGCCGCCACGTCCTCGAACTCCGCAGCCGGCCAATCCACCTCTGCGCAGGTGAAGACCGCGCCCGGCGCGACCGTGGCGAGCGCGCACTCGACGGCCTTGCCAGCGCGCGCGCTGGCCTCTGGAGGCAGCACGTGGAACACCTTGCCAATCATCTTGCCCAGCCGCAGCTCGTGCTTCAGGGCCGCGCTGACCTGGCTCAGCGTTGAGTGCTGCGCCTCGATGATCTGCTTGATGACCTTCTTGTTGCCAAGCAGCCCCATCGAAGGGAAAGTGGGCACCTTCTGATCGATGGTCTCGCACATCCTCGCGACGTCGCTCGCCAGGAACTCCCTGAACACGGTCTCGATGCGCGAGCTCTCAGCGATCACCGAGCGCCCGTACGACAGAACGTCGAGGAGGCCATCCAGCCGATCGAGGTGGACGGGCGACTCGAGGATATTCTCCATCATGCCAGGAGAAGCGGGGTCGTCCACCAGCCTCTGCAGGTGCCCCATGCGGACGCCCGCGCCCCTCCAAGCAGTGACGTGGTCATCGGTGAGCAGCAAGTCCTTGAATGATTTGGTCTCCTCTCGCAGCAATATCAACCGGTGGGGCTTGGCCGCGCATCCGATCGCATAGACAATGGAGTCAAGGTAGTTGAGCTGAACTCGAAGCGCCTCGTCGCTGACCCGACCAGCACATCGCGCTGCCCCCTCGACTGACTTGCGGGGGAGCTCAATAACCATCAGGAAATTGATGTCGTGCATCTTCAGGCGCTCGCAGGAGAAGGCCTTCGGGGTCTCTCCGAAGATCTGCTTCGCTGCGTCGTAGATCTCGTTTACATAGGTCTCGCCACTCTTCCTGATCGCAGTCTTTCTTCAAGACGTCCATGCGAGGGCCATCCACGAACGTAGGCGCCCTGAGCAACGCGCTCGGAAGCGTCAGCGAGGTCCAGGGAGCAAGATCATGAGGGAAGGACTTGAAGCAGCCGACCATCAATGACTGCAAGTTCTGGAATTTCGAAAGCTCGACGTCCGTGTCTGGAGAAACTGCCAACAAGAGCTTGTCCCACTTCACGAGGGTGTTCGCGATGCCTGCCGCGTGCTCGCAAGCGCTGGCCTTATAAAAAGAAGACTGGGTTGTACAGCCGATGCGCCGATACGATCGACTCGGTCGCCATCGCCAGAATATTGCGCATCTCCAGCGTATCATGTAGCCAACGCCGAAGATCAGCGGCATACGAATCCTCCCTCACCACGGCAACCAGAATCTTCACCCATCCCCCCGCAACTAAGTCCAACCACTTGCCAGTCCCCTCGACGAACCTAGTGTCCTTCGCCTCTGGAATGTAGATCTGGATGCCTCCGCTAAGCGCAGCTTGGTAGTCCGCCTGGAGGTTCATCAGCGCGTCCGCGGCACGGTTGATCCAGGACAGGTCTGTCACGGCCAGGTCTGTCACGCAGCGCTCCACGGCCTTGCTGAAGATCTCGGCCTTTGACATCAGCGGCGCCAAACTCGCGAGCGTCGCCTTGGCCTTGGTCGCGATAAGCCGGCCCTGCGCAAGCACGTCCTTGCCGACGGGCCACATCGTGAGGGCCGACCCCAATAAAGTGGACTTCGGCTTCCCTGGGAGAGACGAATCGATGACCGCCACGGCGTCGTTCACGACAGCAGACATAGTCTCGATGTCGCCCCAGGGGGCGGTCCCCGCAGTGAACAGGGCGTCAAGCGAAGCCCACCACTCAGCCACCTCGTCCACCAAATCAACAACGATGTCCTCTGACAAGAGATTGGCTAGCTTCTTGCGAGCAGGAACGTCGTTCTTCGATTTCAGCACGTCCTTCAGGCAATCAGCGATGCACGCCTCCTGCTCCTCCGCAATGGCCGACGGAGCCAGGCCGATCTTCTTCAGCTCGGGCGTGGAGATGCGCTGGAAGAACTGGGCGGGCGTCATATCATCACCGCTGCGCTCAAGGTCGCCCTTCAGTCGCCTCCACTGCAAGTGAGCAGGAGCCTTCAGATCGACCGCGGGCTCCAACGCCATCGCAGTCACGGCAACATCGTACCTGGTAGCCCCAGCGGGCGCGAGAGTTCAAGCAGGCGTTGCCAACAACCGCGCGCCCTCGGCGCCTCCGCCATCACCCCGCCCGACCCCCCCTTTCTACCTCCTACCTTATACCTCATACCCCCTTCTACCTCTTATCAAATACCAACTAGCTCCTACCTCCAAACACTACCTCCTACCTCCTGCCCCCACTGGGCTCGCGGTTTCAGGCGCCGCCTACTTAACCCCGCCTCTGGGGCCCGCCCCGGTACTTCTCGCGAAGCGCATCGGCGCCCACCTCGTTGAGCGTCATGATGTCTGCGATGATCTGCAACTTCTTCTGCGCCACCTTGTATGTCTTGATCTCCGCCTCAGTGGTGAGTGCCCCGATCTTGGTCGGAAGCTGCTTTAGCATGTCGGCAATGAGGGCCAACTGCATGGATTGCCCCGAGCCCCAGATGAGCGGGTCCGTCTGCGACGCAGCGAAGAAGCGCCTCTCCAGGTCGTCCGTCTCGCCCAAGAGATTATTCGATGGAGGGCGCCCCCTCTTCTTGGCGGCGGCCGCTGCTGGCGCTGCGCCGCCGCCTGCGGAAGTCGTTCGAGTCGCCCCAGCAGAAGCTCTGCGGCGACCCCCTGACGGCGCAGCGGCTGGGGCACCACCGCCCGCAGATCCGCCTGCCGCCCCTGATCCGCCCTGCCTTCCCTGCGCAGGCGGTGCCGCGGTGGCGCTGAGGCGCTGGCGGGTTGGCTCAGGCGCCCCTCCTGAGCCTGCCGGGGCGCGGCCCTGGGCGTCGTCGATCGCCGCTCCAAGGCCCATCGCATTCATGACCCCAGGGAACAGCACGTTGAGCAATCTCTTCTGCTTAGTGACAATGTCGGCGTCGTCAGCTCCGGCGCGCCCAAGCTCGCGCGAGAGGACGGACTGGTCACGGTCCTTCTGCTCGTAGCGAGTCTTCTTGATATTTGGAACCCAGATGCCATCTTCGCCGTCGTCAGTCCCCTCGTAGCGCCCATATTTGGCCTTCTCGTTGTCGGGGAAGTTTCCGAACTCGCGCATGTAGGACTCCGCGGGGTAGAATGTGATCCCGCTCGTCGTCTTCACTTTCTCAGAGAGCTTGACTCGCGAGAGGACACAATCATGAATCTGATCGAAGTCGACGTGCAAGTTCTTTCTATCTCCTGCCTCAATAATCGACTGGACCAGCTTGCTGATGATCTGCGCGCGGCGGTCGATGCGATCCTTATCCGAGCCGAGGGCAGCCTTGAACTTCGTCATAATCATCCCTGGGATCATGCGGCAATTGCTGGTGAACCACCGCTGGCAGTATCCGCAAACCTTGACGACGCAACGGCCTTGCGAATCTGGCGGCTTCCCCCACCACATGTAAGCGCTCACTCCATGCGCAGCCTGCACGGGATCTGGATCGTCAGCATAGCGATGGGCAACATTCACATTTACGATGGTCTGGCCTGCACGGAAACGACAGGACGGCAGTCGAGGCTGCAGGGGCACCGGCGGCGGCTGAACGCGAGCAACGGGAACGCTTCCCCCCGCGGTCCCTCTGGCCGATGCCCTCGAGGTGTGCCAGCGGCAGACCCATGGACATGCTGGAAGGCACCCTGCGCTCTGCACCCTCGCCCGAGGCCAGGTGACAAGTACTTCGCCCGACAAGACCTCAAGCCAAAACAGCTTGCGACGGGCGCGCTGGGAATGCGTCGACTGTGGAGTGTCTGCAAGGCCCCTCCCCGTCACGACCCCCGCCTCACCTCGGTCTCGCCGCATTCGTGCTCATCCTCGGTCGTGCTCATCTTTCTCTCGTTGTCCTCATCGTTCATCGTCCTCGACCGAGCCAACCATGAGGGGGGGGGATTCGACACGGGTTGCGCAATCATAGAATGGCAATATTCGTACGTCATTGGCCCCTCCCCAGACAACCTCCAAAATGCGTCGAGCGGGGGGGGGGCGCTAGTGCAACGGTCACGCAGGTCCGCCCCAACGGTCACGCAGGTCCGCCCCAATCGCCAACGGTCACGCGGGTCCGCCCCAACCGACCCCCCCCCCAAGGGCGCGCGGGCTGCGGGCCATTGGCAGTAGAGGGGAGGGAGGCGCGCGAGTGTAACAATCAACAACCAACGACCAACGACCCCTCACAACGAGAAGGTTTTAGGGGTGCACGAAGGGGAACGGGAAACGCCAGGCGCCGTAATCTGCTCGACGGCGCGATCACCCATCAGCACTTGCAGGCCCAACTGATGGAGGGGCGGCCACGAGGGACATAGTCGCGGCCAGACAGAGGCGGGGGGGGGCGGGGACGAAGACGAGGAGAGGGTGGAGGAGGAGGACTCATCGGAGGAAGGGGGGGCGGCAAAGGCGGGATGGGGGTCAGGCAAGACAGCGCCACATGGGGGGGGGGGAGATTGATTAGAGACAGACAGTGGCAGAAATATGATGAAGAGGTGAACGGCAAAACAAGAAGGAATAGAGAGAGGCGCAAGCAGGACAGGGCGACGGCGGCAAAAGGGGGATGACAGCGAGGGAAGAGACGGAGGGAGAAGGGGCCGAGGTGGGTGGTTTTTGACGAGGGTAGACAGTACACATATCAGAGAGAGTGCCACATGTGATGTCGGCTGCGCGGCACGCTCGATGAGCTCGCGGGCCTCGCGCTCGTCTTGCGCGGACGAGAAGAACGCCAGGCCCCCGACCCTGACATCCACCTCCTTATATCATCCTTCCCTCTTCTCAGCTTCCCTCCTTCTCCTCCTAGTCGTCTCGCAATGTCCTCTCCTCCTCCTCTTTCTCTTCCTCTCCTCGTCCTCCTCCTTCTCCTCCTTCCATATTCCATCTTCCATGTTCCATTTCCTCTATTCCTTTCATTGTCCCTCCTTCCCCTCTTTTCTCTGCTCATCTCGGAGGGGCGGGGCCAGCGGGGGAGGGGGTGGCAGGCGGGGGCGGGCTTTGCATTCGGCCCTTGCAGCCTGTTTTCGGGCCCCGCGGGCCGCCAGCTATGAATCTAATCTGGGGAAATCCACCTGCTGGACCTCCAGAAGCTCTGCCAGAATATGCCCGGGGGGCCCGCATGGACCCCCCGCCCCCCCCCCCCATCGCACCCGCCCCCGCAAGAAGCGAAGATGCGCGAGCGCCGAACGCGCGGGACGACGCAAAGCGGCGCGAGGGGGATAGCCGCGAGCCCCCAACATCACAGCGCGCGGCCTCGAAGAGCGCAAAGGTGCCTCGTAGACGGGCGCCCCGCAAGGGGGAGCGGTGGGGGCTTTCGCGCCGCGGTCACCATGCGACGGCTGCATGGAGAAAAACACGATGAGCTCGCGCGCCTCTCGCTCGTCACTCGTCATGCGTCACGCACGCGGGTCGCGACCTGCGTGTAGCTCTGCCCAGCGGCGAGCGGCGGCCGCGCATGTCTGCCCCGCAGCGAGCTCCAGCCGAGGAATGCAATGAGGATTTGGGAGGAGGGGCGCAATTCACACCCCGTTCTGGCGGCCCTCTCCCACCCCATTCCCAGCGGGAAGGAATGAGAGTGAAGGGGGGGGGCCAGGAGAACTCGACCTGCACTGCGTTCCTCCTCCCACGGCGGCCCTGCGGCCTTCGTCGCCCTGTGGGCTCACGGCCGGGCTCGGATTCGCGCAATGGCGCAACGGTTTGAACCTCGACGCTGCGGAGTGAAGAGCTTGGCCACGAGCAACGCTCCCAAGACACCCAAGAAACCCAACCGTGGAACCCGAGAAGGCCCGCTGGACAGCGCGCGCTAAGCGAGCAAGCCCAGTGCGCCCCAGCAGCTGGCCGAGCGATTCTTGGCAGCGTTGCGGGGCGGCGGGCGCGGCTGGTAGTTTGGGAGCTTGCGTCTTAAGGGCGTTGGCTGTCTGCTCAGGGGCTGCCCACTGGGGGGGGGGGCTCTCCGGAGAAGACTAAGGGGCAACGACCGACGGACCAAGGAACGGGTGTGTCGAGACGTTGGCGCGCGTTTAGCAGGAACTGTCTGACGTTCTGATGTCTTGGGACCCGGAGGTCATGACTCCTGGTGTCCTGAGGCCCTGAGGCCCTGGCCCCATGAGGGCCTGGGGCCATGGGGCACTGGTGTCCTGAAGCTATGGGGCGCCGAGGTCCTGAGGTCGCGGCGCAACGGGTGCACGGTGCCCCCCCCCCTCCGCGGACCAGTCGGCACGTCATGCCCTTCTGGATCTAACGGCCTAATGAAATCATATGGAATTGAACAATGGCTGCCAGCTGCGAATCGGCTCTCCCCGCTGCACACAAGACGACTGCGCGGCAGGCAGGATCGGCTTCGGCGCAACCGCCTTCGCACCAGTGACACATGAACTCAAAAGTGATGAAATCAGGAAGACGAGGAAAGGGAGGAGGAGGAGGAGGAGCAGCAGGAGGAGGAGGGAGAAGGAGGAGGAGGATAATCAGGAGGAGCAGAAGGTGGAGAAAGGCGAGGAGGATACGAGAAGGCGACGGAGCGGCGGGCACCGAAGGCGCAGGAATTGGCCATGGGTCATGGCGCAGAGGAGATAGAGGAGAAGCAAGGAGACAGGAGGGGGCGAGGAGGGAGAATAGGGGTTAAGATGCGCAGGACAAGGCAGACACTGAGACACCGATGATCAACGAGATGCGGGGCGCAAGAGGGAAGCGGCGAGGGCGCGGGGGCAGGGGGGGGGGGGGGGAGGCGGACTCGGCTAGTAGAAGGATCGGGACAAGGCGGACGGAATGCGGGGTTTGGGGCTTGGCAAGACAAGGCGGGCATGGAGGAACAGTGGAGAGGACGCCGCGAGGCAGGGAACTTGTGCGTGGGAGAATGGAGGAGGCGCGATGAATTGACGTGGAGCGGGTGGGGGCGAGGAACCCATGGAGTCGCATGATGGATGGGGCGCAATATCACGGCGCAGAGGTACCAGGGGACAAGGACAATCATAGGGAGAGAAAGGTGGCATGGAAACAGAGCGCAGGGGAGAGAGGGGGAAAGGCGGAGGTGGCTCAAGAGTCGAAGGATGGGAAGGCGGGGGCGGGAGGGGGGGGGGGGGCGCGAGAGATGGGAGATGGGCGCAGCGGCGGCGCCGGCGGAGGAGGGGGGGGCGCATCGCGCCGCCGTCCCCTTGCTTTCGCTCTCGTGGAAAACAGACTCGCGTACAGTGGGAAATAAGACAAGTCCTGAATATCACCACCATGGTATTGCACTGTGCCCATGACACTGGTGAGGGCTTCATCGAACTGTTGGCGCATATTGAACTAGACGACAACATGAACAAAACGCAAGGAAGTAACATCACGCCACGCGCAAACCTGTCAAAGTTCGCAACAAACATAGGACACCGTTCACTGGATGACACCTCCTGGCAATGAATTCGACTTCGGTATTCCCCCCCCCCCATCCCTTGGATGCACGTCATAGGCATTGCAGGGTCGCGTCCCAGGAGGCTGTTTTGCATCCTAGAAGCTGGCGCACTCTCTCAGGGCAAGAGACGGACAGGCCAAACCCGCGACACGAGAGAAACCATATTCTCGAGAAACCTGCATTCTGTCGTCAACCTGCAAGGGCGCACATGATGTCCCACGTGGGACACCACCGCCAGTGTGCTAAACTACCCTAACTGCTCAAGAGCAATTCCTTCACCTTAATCATACAGTCGAATACACGAGCCCAACAACAAAGAAATTGGAACATGATGGGTCGGGGGTGCTAACTAAGCCGAGGGGAAAGGGCACTAGCATTCAATTGCAGAGCATGAAAAATACGAACCTACGATACAACAAAAAGACCTGCCCACGGCCTGGACACTCGAAGCTACCCGGAGCCCTTGCAAGGACCCGCTTCTGGGTGAAGCGAACTTGCCTGCCATCAGTCTGAAGAAGAAGACGAGGGGGCATGGCCCGCGTCTACATCCGGAGACATCGCCGCAGAAGCGCCATCAGCTCCTTCATCATCAGACTCATCGCTGGGCGCATCAACTTTCTGGCCGTACATGCCCACTGCGGCGATGGGTCGGAATGTCCTGCGCAAGAAGTCAGCCGCCTCAACCTCACGCGGCAGCAAGCCACTCCCATCGATGTCCTTGTGAAATGTCGGGGGCGGCCATTGGAGGTTCGCCTGGCTGAAAAGGCGATGGTGATCAAGCTTCCATTCCTGTTGCGTACTGCTGCCCTCCTTCATGACTTTTTCGTAAGAGGAGATCATGCCCAATTTTCTGCCACGCGCAGCCGACTGTCCTCGTCTATCTCAACGTACGTGAACAAGGAGTGGACCGACCATCTCTTGAACGACTGCAACACTCGCTTGAAAAAGAACTAGTAACGGTGTTCGGATCCGCAGCGACGCTCCTCATCGCTGCCCACAACAAGCGCTTCCTCTCAATGCCCGGGGAGCCGTGCTCCACGGCGCCCATGGAAACATACGTTGACCACCAGCCATGATCAGCAAAGGTCTTGTTGATGCAATCATCGTCACGCACCCCCCTCCCAAGGGTTTTCTTCAGGAGGCTCTTCACGCACTCAAGAATGACCATCGCGGGCTTGTGAGACTCGAGAACCGAAAATACCGGTCGGAAACCTTCACCTGTTTTACCTTTCTCATCCTGTACACAGTTCTGGCATGCTGAATGACCACCCCGAGCTCCTCGCGCGCTGAGAGCGCTCCTGGGCTGACAGGGAAGACCAGCATCGACAAATGAAACGGGGGCAGCTGTTGCATTGCCTTGTCACGGCAAGCGTTGGGCGCAACACTAGTCCCAATGGAGCCCACGCTCTCCGCAGCAAGCTCTGGCTCGAACTCGTCTATCAGATGCTTGGGCTTGCGCGCGTCGCGTTCGCAAACCAACCGCAACCG